GCTGCAGACAAGCATTCTCGGGGCCAGACGCAGCCTTATAAGGTGGCCTGACATTTTCTCATGGCCCAGGCCACCCTCCAAAAATATCCAGAGACAGAAGAAGAGTGGGAACTGACCTCCCCGAACGTTTCAAAGATTAACAAGCAGGCTCTCCATTAAACAGGAGCACTAACACCTGCTTTCCGACCAGCTCCAAAAGCCCTGCAGGGTCCATGCTGGGGAGGGTTCTGCGTTGGGAAGAGAATAGATGGAGGCTTCAAAACACACATCCAAGCTGGCTTCTTTGCTCTAAAAAAAGTGTTATTTCCTGGACCCCTCCAGAATATGCTTTAAGATCTGACTGCCTTTGCTTTATATGGACAATAGAGACCCATCCCTAATTTTCACTGCTGTGTGCCTTTCAGCCCCTTCGGCGTCGTGGGGCTGAAGCCCGGTTCCAAACGCCTCACACTTCCAAGGCCCCGATCGCTTGTGAGGTGCTGCCTCCCAGCGGGGGAGCCCAGCTACAACAACGCAGAAGCGGAGCTTGGCCATCAACCAAGTGCGGTATCTGGAAATGCATCTGGACTGCGTCCACGAAGGCCGAAGATAGATGTGAAGGTGCTGCCGTGCTCACAAGTCTATGTTCTGGAACTAGTGAGCAGAGACGCAACTTCCGAACCTTTAGAGATTTATGAAACGGGTACTGGGTGCTAATATACACAGCCTTTCTATTTTTGCTCTTTGAATGGGAATTTTTAGGGTAAACTGCCTTTCCTGGGGGGGGGGAATTATTTTTGGTAATGAGATCTGCCCTAGTAACACTAAGGAGTAGCTTTCTAAATTTGAAAGCAAAAAAGATTAACTAGTCTCTCACACTTACAAGGAAGCGTTGGTCAGAGACCCACGCAGCGCTCTCTGGTGACTGGCTCTCAGCGGCAGGCAGGGGTGTTAACAGGTATGGCTATTTTTGGTAAGAGTTGCTTAGAACAGTTTCTTCACCACTAGACTGTATGACAATGAGCCAGTCCATTTGTAAGGTTGGGATTTTTTTTTTTTTTAATAATATGAGGAATTGCAAAGCTAGTCTCCATTCTTGTTAAAGGGAACAGAACAACAGCGGTATTTTTGGAACACTGTGTGTAACAGGAGGTCTCTCACTTATACCAATGGTAATTCCTCAGGCTAGAGCTTATTGTGTTAACACAGTACACATAATTGCCACAAAATATGACAATGACAAATTAGAAAGCCCTGGTTTCCCATTACCACCCTAAGATAGTGAAGGTTGTATTTTCTGGGTAGCCTCTACTATTAACTCTACCATCTGTTCCTCACCTTTAGTTGAAATGATTCTTTTCGAAAATGAAATGCCTATCTCTGAAAGAGACTAGATTGCATACAGGAGGAGTGCTTCTACAACCACCGTGCTGCTAACGTCTAAGCCTGTGCTCAGACAGCAAGTAGAGAGAAAACGTTCCCTTTGGAACAAGGACCACAGTCTTGGACAACGGTTGATGGTTAACTCTGAGAAAGACTTGGCCGACCCGGCAGCGGGCATGTTAACCGCTGGAGGCACATGAGAAGGAGATCACTCAGGGATCACCCACTAGACAATGCCCATCCCATGGACACATCGGTGCTTTCATTTTGAGGTGAAGAGGCCTGGGGTCTAGAATTAGCAGGACGGAAGCGGCTGAACGGGGTGTATCCTGCCCGTGTCCCTCCCACCACCTCCTACAGTGAACTTGAGAGTGGGTGAAGCGGTTCCTAGGATTGCTCTCTATTTGGAGGCATTTTCAGGAGGTACTTTACCACATCTTGTTTTAATAAAAGATGAACATTGCCAGGCAACAACAGTTCTCCTCTTATATTAGAAAAGTTAGATTAAAAAAACATTGTAAAAAAACAAAACAAAACAAAACCCCAAACATTGTAAGACAAGGATCCTCAATCGTTTACCGACTTTCTTAGATTTCCTGGTCGCTTACATGAGTACTCCCTCTTGTCCCTCTGTGGCCAGGCTGAGAGGGGCTTGGTAAGCTTGAAGACTGGCAGGAAGAATGACTTTTTGGAAACCTCTTAATATAATCTATTTCTTCTGTGTAAGTGCATTACGAATAGCAGAAATAGATTTTAAACCTATGAAAGAAAGAACTGGAATCCGTGACAAAACTGAAACTCTTCCATATTCCTGTAACACCACGTTCAGGCCAACTTAATGTGAAAAATCACTAGATGCACTGGTATTTCAAATCCAGGCAGAGCACACACCAGTTTATTTTGAAATGCAACACAGATCAGTATTTTATGAATACAACTTATTACTACATTAACATTATCAGGTAAAAACAGCTTCAAATGCATGCATAGAAAGTTAGGCATAGCCTTTGAACTCCTTATTTCTAAATATACAAAAAATACATTTAAATTATATAATTTTAGTGAATCAAAGACTTATAAAATTACAATTTTGGTTTTCACAACATAGAAAAAATACAAAAATGGACTATATATATGGTTGTATAATTTTTTACCCAAATTTCAAGGGAGCAGTATGTACTGATGTTGATGTTTTATGTTTTATCTAGAAACTCAGAACTGAAAGTAATTTGCAGGTTGTACCACATCAGCGCCGATCTTGTGTTATAAATGAATAATCCAAACAAACCAGTAGAGATGAGGACACCATCTTCATATGCCTCTTTACCTCTAGTTCTTCTAAACCCTTTCTGTGGGAAGTTCACTCCAGGGGAACGGATTTTATCTGGAAGGACAGTGCTTTATTCCATGACTAACTCTCCATGGTGCCTTTGATAATGGTGAGTATGTGTTAAATGAGTGATCCCAACCTGAGCAAACAGAACACAGCAAGATGCAGATTAGCAGCTTGTGTCTACAAAGCACTACTGCGTACCTCAAAGAATTCTCTGCCGGAAGGTGGTCCCCGAAGGGGGGAATCTGAAACACCCAACCAGGCGGGCGGCGGGGCAGATGATGCCTTTGACTATGTCCTGAAATGAAAACGAGAAGTCTGACAAAATACCCACCAAACACTGCCTTCCTCATTCACACTTTGTAAGATGTGACAGTTGGTGGGGTTAGATGTTCTCAATTCATAGAAGAACACCATCACTTCAAAGGAGAAATTAATTCATGTCAGAGATAAAGCAACCAGTTACCGAGAGAGGTGAATGAAGGACATGGCCGAGTGCATGCCTTAGTTACCTGCCATGAGCATCTTAAATGTCGATGGACAAAAATACACAGTGCAGTGGAGACCCTTTTTGAGGAGGGAGTTGCTTGCTGTGTTCTTGCTGCCAAAGTTCAATTTGATGCAACACCACTGTTTGCGACAGACTATTTTTCATAAATAGTGACAAATTATAACAGAGAGGCCCGAATAAAACCCCCAATCCAGCGATCCTGGAAAACCTATATTTTTCACCCCATCTTCTATAACTATTCCAGAAATGACTGAAAAAAATCTTACCCAAACTAAGTAATTAAGACTAATATTATAACTCAAATTGTTTCTATTTTACAGCAGAAATACATTTAGGAAAAAGAAAAAAAAAATGAAAAATAATCTTTCCTCTATATTTAGTTTATGAAGAACAGATTCTAGTCTCAACATGCCCAAGTTAAGAGTGCTGACATAAAGAAGCAGAATTTTAATGTTCGATTCAAAAATAATTTTATTACACATCTGCCTGCAATAAATTTTAGGCTCCATACTTTTTCTTTCTTTCTTTTTTTTTTTTTTAGGCTCCATACTTTCTTCTTCTCATTTTCATCTTCATTATCAGGCTTCTATGAAAATAATTTAAAAACTAATTTAAAAAATGAGTTTTCCATTATGACACTCTTCTGATATTAGGAATTATATTTTAAATAACTACTCAGTAAGCTAGTAAGCTAGGCCTTTAAAATTTTAAAGATCAACGATTTAAAAAAAAAAGGGGAGAAAAGAATCCACAAAGAACATTGTGTTTAAAATTTAATGCACATCTGAACTTGGGCTTTACATTTTCATCAACCCTTTCTTCAAGAGTCTTAAATGCACAGTTCAGCAATTAAATGGTATGAAAACATGACGGCAATTAGACACGGTCCACATGACCAAAGTATTTCTAGGCCGCTCCCACACACGGGAGAGGGAACTGCTTTTAGCTCATGTCTGCCCGACTGGGGCACTTCACCACCTCTGGACTGTATTACAGCGTGGTGGGGATTACACAGGACCGTAATTAGGAAAAGGATCCTAACCGAAGAGTTGAAGGACATTTAAAAATAAAGTAAGAAGGGTATAGAAACCTATTCCTAAATGTTCTTCAGGTCTACATATCTAAAGTAACACCTTCCATGTGCTTTCAATTACAGATTCTCTACCCCTTCGTGACTAGCCTGGCTTTGGGTCCAGCAGTGAGAATAGCTATGGGTAAATACATTACTCAGAGGTGTTCTGAGAATGACACGGTGAAAGGTACTCGTCATTTACTGGCAATTGAGCTTTCCCTTTCTGAGAACTGTCACTGTGTTAAAATATGATTGAGGCTGAGCCCTAGATAAGATACGTTCTCTACGATGTACACATACTTATTAAACTCGAGCACGTTTCTTAGTGGCAGGCTGCAACGACTCAACTGAAAACAAACAAAAGGGTTCTAGTTGTTTTCAGATTACAGGTACTACCCCAAAGCTTCACGGACATATACATGGTATAATTCATTCATTAGATAGGGGGAGATAGATCCCAGCCATAACTTCGTAACATTCCAGACAACAAAGTTTGCCGCTTCAAAAATACAGTTTCTAGCATGCAGTCAAGCACTTTGAAAAGGGAATGCGAAACACACTGCAGCCTGGAACAGAACTCTTACTGCAAGCTGGGCACTCAGCTGGTACAACTTCCTTACTCAGACTGTAACTCTCAAGTATTTAGTGTTACAGATCTTTACTTATCAGATACATGAAGGAAACAGGAGGATATAAAACGCCAAATCCCTTTCCAGAGCCATCATAAATACTGGGAACTTCTGGTTGAAAGAGCATGCTGAAATGGACCGGCCAGGATGTTTTGTGTAATAGTTTTTGTTGTTGTTGTTTGTTGTTGCTGTTGTTTTAAATAAAATCCCAGGCCTGTGTGACACTGGATTTTGGTTTTTGTTTTATTTTTTTAATATTTTAAAAATAGTTCTTACTTATTTTCTATGAAACGTATTGGGAACTCAAAAAGTCTGCAGCATTTTTTGTCATTGAAAAGTTTGTTTTGGGGGGGTGCGCAGGAAGCAGGAGCTATTCAAATTTCTTGTGCTCTTCAGTATGAGAAAGGACCTTTCTTCTCTGGTGTATCATGTGGAAGTACAACTGGGGAAAAACTGAAAGAAAAGAAAGAACTGGTTAAGGAGCTAGATCACTTAAAACTGCATGTTCTCTTCAAAGCACATGGACTTGGGGTCCTCTTTGACTCACTTTCTCATCCAGCAACCAAGGAAGGGAACACGGTGGGCTTGGGTAAGGGTAGGAAAAATGCACAAGGACTTACCTTTTCCTGCTTTAGCTGAAGGGGAAGGGTGGCCCGGACTGGAGTGACACATAGTACCATCACTATCATTACCCATCGAGATGCTACAGAGCCGCCAAATAACACTCTACCCTCTCTCGTAGTATCTTCACATTTATTCTCTGATGTTACAAATAGGTGAATTCTAGTGATGGACTTGTTATTCCTGTTTACAGAGGAGGAGTTCAAGCCCCAGGGAGGATAGGTGACTTGCCTGGGATTTCACAGCAAATTCCTGACAATCAGGACCAGGCTCTGGGCTCCTGACACTCAGTCTAGTCCCTTCTGTCACCTGAGGGGATCTCCCAAAAGCATTTCCCGAGAAAGGTTGTTCTTTGAAGGGGAAGACTGAGGAGGGGGAAGAGGGCCATGACATTTTATCTGAACAGGAAGAAGCCAAGTTTGGCTGCAGAAAGTCCTTATGAAAAGTAAGCTAATATCTTAGGCACTAGAGATTCTGTTCTTGGTCATTTCCTTTTTTTTTTTTCCCTTAAAGACTTTATTTATTTATTTTAGAGGGAGAAAGAACAAGTGTGGGCGCAAGCAAGCGGGGGAAGGGGGGAGGGAGAGGGAGAGAGAATCTGAGGCAGACTCTATGCTCAGCATGGAGCCTGAGTGCCGCTCCATCTCACAATCCTGAGATCATGACCTGAGCTGCAATCAAGAGTTGGACACTTAATTGAATGAGCCACCCGGGTGCCCCTATTCTTGGGTCATTTCATAGGTTACTTTACAAAGTACTGGTTCTAAAGAAATTGGGTGGTACCACCTCCCTGGGAGTATTTGGAAGCTGGGGGGAGGGGGGTAGATTTGCAGGAAGGAGGTTACTGGCATTCAGCACACGAAGCAGGAATGCCAAAATCTGCAATGTGTGACGGTCCCCCACAACTAAGAACTGTCCTACCCCAAATGCCTACAGGATTCCTGCTGGGAAAAGCCAGCTGAAGCCACCTGCCTTCACGAGGCTACTGTGAACTGGGGGTTCAACACCTATGTAAGAACCCTAGTGAGTTGGTTTAAATGTACACTATCCTTCCCTCCTTCCTTTCCCTTCTCAACGGCTCCAATCTCCATTTTGTAGAAAGTAACCTGTATTTCTGGGGAGGTAATTTCTATGATTCCCCTGACAGTTTCTTCCTTTAAAAAAAAAAACAAAAAAAACCAAAAAAAACCCCCACAAACCCACGACCCTGAGGATCAAGACCTGAGCCGAAATCAAGAGTCGGACACCTAACTGACTGAGCCACCCAGGCACCCCAACAGTTTCTTCCTTTTTAAACGGGTTCCAAGTTGGCCAAATTTCAAATGGTCCTCCCAAAGTACTCCAAGACATCAGTGGGTGTGTGCACACAGATCTGATAAACTTCAGAGGAGGCTCCGACGCTGAACAGGGCTGCCATCCAGTCCACTCGCTATTTGTAGGCAGGAAGTTATTCAGAGAAAAGACTCAGCTTGTACATAGAATTCAACAGGGGAGAGAACTATTCTGGTATGAAAGCCAGAAAATTTGACAAGCTCTATAATCTAAAAACTGGAAGTAAAGATATAATTAAACCATAAGGAATGCTAATTGCAATCATTTAAAAATGTGGGGCCAGTCATATTTCTATAGATGTGCTTTACTAAAGGGAAAATTTGTGGCAAAGTACACTAAGGACTTTCCCACCGGTTGCAGGGGTGGCTAAAGCTTCCCTGCTAGTTCAGAGGGTCTGGGGAAGGATGACCTAGAAACCATTCATCAGGCCCTTGGTGACAGTTAAAGCAAGATGGTGGAGTACCCTCATCCCCACAGGCAAGGGCCTGAGGTCAGAAATGGAGGGCAGATATGGTTCTTTCAATTCTTTACAACTTCAGAGGTTGTAAAGGACCAAGCAAAGGAATGTGTGTGGGCGAGGCCAGGAGAATGGGGGCACTTGGGCTGGAGGTTTTCTACAGTTCTAGTAATGACTTCTTGGTGACCAGAACTTGGGTGACACTGTCTCCATCTGAATTACCCACATGTTTAGACTGGCCCAACCGTAACAGCTGAAACAATTCCAGATGCATGGCTACTCTTTTTAACCATAGACGGCAATGAAGAAAAACCCCCAAACAATCTCAGCCTGACAATAGGCTATTCTGAATTCTACCTTCTGCTCTCCCTATCCAGGACACATGGAATGGAGATGGTCACTGTGCATGCGAGTGTTGCAGTGGGAGTAGGGGTTTCTCTAGGCAGAGGAAAACTTGGAGGCTGAGAGCAAATGGAAATGCTCTGCCTGGGGCAAGTTTTTTCTTGGTCTCTCTAAAAATCTGAGGCGTGGTTATGGTTACTGACAACCTGGACAGCACCCAGCTTCTCAGTGCCCTCATCCAACACCAGTGTTTCTCATTTCTCAGCCTTTTTTTTTTTTTTTTTTTTAAATCCCCACTCCTATTAGGTGGTAAAAGCCAACTTTTACCAATTTGGGGGGCAGGAAATGTAGACAGGACTTAGATGTCTACCGAGTTTGGAGAGACTATACATACTGCAGCTGCAGCAAAGTGGGAAAGGAGCACCTTGCAAGGGATTCCACAGCACCCCAATAGGAGAAAACTCCTGGGGCCCAGGCTCCTGGGCCACAATTTGAGCCACATGTACAACAATGAAAGGGTGTTATTTTGTATAATACATGTATATCACCAACTTCCCATTAAAGAAGACTAAAAGAAACTTACATTGTAGAAAGAAAACCAAATTTGGTAAAGAAGACTGGATGTCAAATAGCAACCCCTCTTAACTCTGCATTTTCTTCTTATAAATACAAAGTTTTGGAAAGTTGGACATGTGCTGCTGGCTGGAATGAACTGTACAAACTGGTCTTAATATTAACAACCTAAACAACTAAAAACATGCAGGACAACTGGCTCAGGCCTAAGGCATAATGAGTGCCAGCAGACACAACTGATTTGTAGAAGATACGGTCTGGGCCGTCATCTTGAGCCTGGGTGCAGGGTCAGGGATTGGGAGAAAATCTGTTCATCTTTACTTGAAATCAACCCTTTGTCTTGGTCTATAGGAGTTAAACTACCTTAAGAAAGAAATAATACAGACTTTCACCACCCAAGTTCTTACCAACAGGAGGCTGAGAAACAAAGAAGGGGAAGGAACCAAGGTAAAGAAAGCCAACTTGGGTTGAGAGCCCACCCTACTCTTTTGTGTTTTCTCTTCTCTCTCCATCTGAAGGCCCAGAAGGAAAATCCCACAGGATGGGGTTTGTTTTCCTTCATGAATCCTATCACTAGGAAGGGCGGCTGTGCTTGACCAGGCCCCTTAACTAGATCAAGGGGTCAGGAGGCAGAGGCAAAAGACTGGGCGCTGGTTGGCCACCAGAGCACAAAAAAACAAGGAGGTACAGAGAGACTGAGGTTGTCCTGGAGAGCTGCTCCTGGAATGAGGACCCTCCTTCTTTGGCAGACTCAGATCTTAGAGCAACTCTCAGGTAGGGGTCCCAGATTTCTGTTAATGTGGCAGCATCCTGCTATTGGTTTGATTTCATCACACCATCCCTGCTCCTTTTCCAGTTACCAGTCTGGCATCTATCTCTTATTCAAACCTTATACTGATTTTATTTTATTTTATTAAAGATTTTATTTGAGAGGAAGAGAAGGGGGGGAACAGAGCTCAAACAGGGGGGAAGGGCAGAGGGAGAGGGAGAAGCAGGCTCCCTGCTGAGCAGTAAGTCTGACTTGGGGCTCCATCCCAGGACCCTGAGATCATGATCTGAGCTGAAGTCAGATACTTAACCGATTGAGCCACCCAGGCAGTCCCTTATGCTGATTTTTAATAAATCCTGTGGTGCCCACTGGGATAATATGTGTTACTCTGGGTGTGGCAAAACTCCAAGTAGGAACTGTTGCTCTAGAGACTGGAAAATGAAACTCTAAGGGAACAAAACTAAAAAGATGAACAATTGTAAGCTAATTTTTATTAAATTTTTAGACTCTTCCCTATTTATGTTTTCTTTGAAAATCAACTACCTTTTTCAATTTAAGAGAAAAGGCCTTTGGCCACCATGATTCCAGTACCAAAGAGGAGGACTTGATAATTAATAAAGAGTGGAAAATGAGTCATTAAGCAGAACTGCTGTCCAAGAATTTCTCCAAGATAAATGCTCATATGAAATCTGGATGTAGTTTTTTTTCTCACAATGCATGAAATGCAATTTTCCACAGAGGGACACAAACATGTCGCTTACGACTGTTACGATGATTCATTCAGTTCATGCTGTGGGCTGGAGAAAAATCCAACCTTCCTGTCTGAATTGAACCTGAGGTTTAGGGAAGAATATAGCATCTTACAGACCAAAATAGGATTCACAGTGACAACGGCTACAGAAATAGCTAAATGAGAAGAAACCTTAACTTCTTATGTCCTCGGGTAAAACAAAATCCTTTTGGATACGTGAAAATCAGTCATAGGATTTTAAGTGAATATCAGAATTTGAGAAAAGGACTAAACAACTCTTCCTCAGCAAATAGGACTCACTTCACAGAAGCCTCAAACATGGCCATTTCTCTTTGATACCGAGTATGCTGATAGGCACTTTTGATTATCCGTATTTAAACCTTTAGCAGTACTATTAAAATAACTGGAAACTGTTCTGAAGAGAACGTTATGTCCTGTTCAGATGATTTTAGTGCTTATATCCAAACAAGAAAATAAGAAATATGAAAAAAATAAATTAATCTATTTTTATTTTGTTATTTGTTTCTAGTTAGCTGCTGATTCCTTATAAATGAAGTGTCTATTTTGATATAATGAAAATGCAAATATCTCTTTACAATGTTTTCCAAATACCGTAACAAGCAGTTCTCCAGAGACAGAAAAAGTCAAGGTAAGGTCTTTAATGGCCTTTTTTGTTCTGCACAGGTACACATTCCCCCAACAGGTAGTTCACCTTTCCTGCTATTCAGTGTTTCAAACCCACACACTGAGAAGGGCTGCATTTTGGCAGCTGTATTGAGAAGGGTTCATCTTTATTCAATTACTACTAGAGAAAATTCCCTCTGACAGTCAGCATTCAATAAAAACCAAAGCGTTCCTAATAAATTAGATTTACATTTACTTGATATGGTATAAAAACATCCAAAGGCATTTGACTCTAATTATTGTAGAGCCAATTTTAAAAACATAAATAAATATACGAACTGTTTACTTACTTGGAATGTAGGAGATCATTATCAGAATTAGGAATGCATAATAGTCAAAGGAGAAATTGTATTTGTTAGGTAGACTGATAGAGTACAGGCCGGCCTGTCGGACGAAGGGCAAAGCAGCATATATTGTGAGCAGTTCTCCCGACACTCCCATTGGGTACAGCACAATGAAAAGTGTGTACCTAAAACAAAACAAAATATTCATGACTGAGGCTTGAAGCCAGCATGAGTAGAAAGATACATTCCCACCCCTCTAATCAGTACTGGTCTTTCAGGAAGCTATGATTTCTACATCTTCCTACTTACCTACTATTTGTTTGTTTCTTTCTTTTTAAAGTAGGTTCCATGTCCAATGCGGGGCTTGAACTCATGACCCTGAGATCAAGAGTCACATGCTGTACTGACTGAGCCAGCCAGACGCCCCTGTTTACCCACTGTTTAAATTCAGGTTTTACAAGCCAGTTTTTGAAAAGGGCCTATAGCAGGTATGTCTCTGAATGTTCTAAAATAAATGGGTTTGGTTGGCCTCAAAATTTGGTCCAACTAAATAAACAACATTTAATACAACTCCCTAAAATAATACAGATGATGCCAATCATTAGTAAAGTAGGGGCGCCGAGTCATGGTTTATAGAAGGGTCCTGCCCTGTGGCAGGGGTGGGAGTGGAGCTGGGGGGTTTGCAGGGAGTTGGTGGGGGAGGTGTTGGAGCACGTGTCTAGGAATCTCTACAAAGCATACCACGTCTGGTCTGTGGGTTGAAAAGAATAGCACAGCTGGTGTGCTTATACTGCTATTAGTCAAATGTCTATACATTATCATCGTGAAAAATGAAATATATGCCAATTTTAAAAACCTTAAAAAATTCACAATAGCTTTTGGTAATTGTGTAATTTTTCAGTAATAAAAAACCCCTACAATGATTATCACACAGAAGAATCCACACCATTTTTTTCACTTCAAAAAGGAGTTCTCTATGTTTCAAAAAGAATTCAGAGAGAAGTTCATCCTATGGAACTAACTGGAAATCATTCTGAGGGGTAAGTATTGCTAAAGAAACCAGCTGCTCAAATTTTAAAGAAGCTCTGGCTGTTTGTGGCTGACAGCGAGCAAAATTCCAGGTGCAGAAGTTGTGCTGAGAAATCAGTGACAAAGAGCGGAAGCTGTGTTTGCGGTGTTCCCTGCTGCCAACTTCAGCTATGCTAAAGAGGACGGTGGAACGGGAAGATTCTTCCATAGGCCATGCACAGCCATGGACAAAAGAACCATCAAGATCAGGGCTTGGCCAGCCAAATCTCCCTGTAACAGAGCAGACAGTTCCCGCAATGCCTGCCCAGCTTGGTGAGTTAGTAACTGCCATCTCTTCCCATTCTTCCCTTTTCCTAATAAAACTGTGTACTGGGAAAAAAAAGAAAGGAGTTTGCACACTTGAAATGTTGGAAACAATTGGTTTATGTCTCTAATTTAATCATTAAACGCATAAGTTATCTAGGAACCACCATTTTCCTTCTAGGAAATGAGGCACTTGGGCCCCAAGGACAATTTTGATCCTTTTGCTTTGTCACTCTCCCCATAATCCTCTCCAACTCAGAAAACTGCTTGTAACCATCTCATGAATTAGTTCGGATAAACAGATGAACTGTCAGCCTTTTCCCCAATTCATAACAAATATTACTGGTAAAACTTATCAAAGCAAAATAAAATTGCTAACAAGATAAAACTGCACGTAATGTTGGTTATTAATTAAAAATTAAGTCATAGCTTGTTGGCAAAATTGAGACTAGGAGAACTGGACTTGGTCCAAAAAACATAATGGCAGGAGCTCATCAGTAAAATTTGATAGGAACAAAAAAGGATGTTACATGAAATCTCTATTGAATAATTTAAATGAAAATAATCGATCCAATAAAAATAACAAGTATATCAAACTTAAAAGTGTTTCTATTAATCAAAGTTAAGTAGCATCCCTTATCCTGACGAAATCCACAGACCAGTCTCATATCACCAATCCCAACTCTTTTGTCTCATACAATTAAAGGAAAAAAATTAAAATACAGTTGACATTGTACAACTTTATTTTTAGGAGTTTGGAGGCAATATTTAGGAATAAAGGACAAATAGAGTGATGGGTCATTTCAAAAGTTAATCTTCATCCCATGTACTTTACCTGGCCCACTTGATGAGGTAAGGCAGATGGTTTAATAGACTGAAAGTATAAAAGGAGTAACGGATAATTTCTGTGATTGTCCAGGCAATAACAAACAGGAGGACACTGTCTTCACTCTGCACCTGAAGGAAAAGGAAAACAAGAGCAAAAGCAAACACATAAAACACATAAAACATTTTAACAAAGAAGCACTCTCAGTGTGCAGCGCCAGCCCCCTGCTCCCTGGCAGAGCCGGGCGGTCGAGCAAGCGGACACAGCCCTGGTCTGGTCATCAGTGCTACAGGACATTAAGAGCTTGCCACGTCCAGGAACACATGCCTATGACAACAATTGTGTAGAGCCAAGTGATTAGGGGCAAGTGAGAAGAACTCAGCTTCCTGATGAGTAAGAGAGGCAGAAACAGGAATTCCATGAGCTATAGGCCACAGGAAAAAACACAGATGAGTGTTTTGTCTGTGGGCCTCCTGTGGAGAAGGTGGACTGATGGCAGTGGGAGCCAAGACTACTTAGGTAAGAAGGTCGAAGGGCAAATCGGTGGAAAGCCTGGGGTCTGTCCATTAATAAGCATTTTAATTTGATCTGCATGACAACTAAGAATCTGCGGAAATTTCAAAGAAGAGGAATGTAGTGATTGAAACACAACTGAAGATGAGGCTCATTCACTGGGTAGGATGAATTCAAGTGAGGAAAGAAGAGCCAGAGACCATCTGAAAGGCAGGGCCCATTTACTCTCTCCCAATGGTGACTTCTTCCCCCAGATGTAGCCTGGTTTAACTTAAAAATGATAAAAGCTTCCATGCTGACCACAGGAGGTGGCTAAAGCCAGAAGGGCTCTGGAATTTCCAACTTCCTCTGAATTACTTTCATGCTGAAAATGCAGTGAACTTTAAAACAGCCCCCACCCCCGTGGTTTTTGGGGGCCGTTCTCACTAGATGCCTTGGACTGCAAATCTCGCATGGAAATGTATCTCTGCTGCCCTGGCATTTGCTTTCAGTGCCCCCACCAGCCCCCCAGCCAGGTCTATAATGATCCTGCGCCCAGGCTTGAAGACCAGTAACAAGAAACTACCTTGCACCCAATTCACTCACGTTTTCTTGTATCCGAAACAGGCAGTTAAGAGTTGGATGTGACTAAGAAATTCCACTGAGTGAACTGAACAGATTTTGACAAGATGGATCTTCTCTGTCTCATTCCTAATGCCTAATACAACAAAGGTACAGCATTCTAACTTTAACTTTTCTTCTTTGCATTTGCAATGTGAATAGTTTTTAGCACTTATATTCTTCCTCAGAAAGTGTACATGGAGCGATCCACCTACACAATAAAATAACTAGTCATTTACATACCTATTAACTAAATTGCTCTGACAAAGAATTTCATAAATGCATAGTTACTAATTCCTAAAAATAATAAGAATTTTACATTGTCAAGAGCAAGAGTACTTTTTGTTTTCCTGGTGCTCTTATATTAGCCAAAGTGAAACCTAAATACCTCTGAAGCTTTTGTTCCATTTTTCAGTCTGTCCCCAAATCCTTGCTTAAAACACAGCTATACTAAAACATAATTTCAGAGCACATTTTGCTTTGTGATGTATTTTGTAATCCTCTTCATCTTAAGGAGGTATATTTTACAGCTATGGGATGAAGCCTTGCTTAAAGATCTCTGGGTTGCAATAGAAAGTTCTTCCAATATTTTGCATTCTAATCACCTTGAAAGCAGGGACTGTGTTTTATTCATCTTCTGATTCCCAAAAGTACTTTGTGGATTTCACAAGTAGGAGCTCAATAAATGTTTGTGGAGCAAACAAATTCAATTCTCATCAGGTCACCCCAAGATTAAGTTCCTGCCTTTGATACCTGATATTAGTTTCTGTGTAGTCTTAAGTGGCCTTCAGAAAGACAACAACCCCCCCCTCAAACCTTGCACTTTGATCCAGCCTAATCTGACTCATTTCCCCCCATACCCATGTTAGACTTGATCCAAAAGCAAGCTTAGACTCAGGCTGAATCTGTGAAAGCAGCTGCTCCCAGAGCCCAGCTGTGAAGACCATGTTATAATTTTAAAAAGAAAGAATGGGGGAAATGGCCATTTTAAGAAAATGATATCTTCAGATCAATAGGAAATACAACACTGTTATAAAGAAGGGACTTGGGAAGGGGCGCCTGGATGGCTCAGTCAGTTAAGCATCCAACTCTTGATCTCAGCTCAGGTCTTGATCTTAGGGTCATGAGTTCAAGCCCCACACTGGGTTCCATGCTGGGCATGGAGCTTACTTAAATAAACAACAACAACAAAAACAAGGGACTTGGGTAAAAGTTGGAGATCAAGCTTATCTGATTTGCAGACAATTGTCCAATGACACAAAACAGGGGCAGAATGTAATGAGCTGAAGCTAGTAAGATCAATGAGACTCAAACAAATATTTGTACACCTGTGTTCACAGAAGCATTATTCACAACAGCCTAAAGGTGGAAACAGCCTAAATGCTCATCAACAGTTGAATCCATAAACAAAATGTGGTATATACATGCAATGGAATATGAGTCTTAAAAAGGGAATTCTGACACATGCTACAACATGGATGAACCTTGAATACAATTTGCTAAGTGAAATAAGCCAGTCACAAAAGGACAAATAACTATATGATCTCACTCATATGGTACCCAGAGTAGTCAAATTCAGGGAGACAGAAAGTAGAAGCAGAAGGTTGCCAAGGGCTAGGGGTGGGAGGAAATAGGGAAAAATGTTTAATGGGTATAGAGTTTTGGTTTGGGAAGATGAAAAATGTTCTGGAGACAGATGGTGGTGATGATTATACAACCATGGGAATGTACTTACTGCACCCAAACCATACACTTAAAAATGGTTAAAATGGTAAATTTTGTTATCTATGTTTTACCACAACAAAAAAAACCCTAGTAAGATAAAATTTAACAAGGTTAACTGTAAATTATACATGCTTCAGCAACAACAAAATGACTCCAGTACAGAATGGGGAAGACCCAGCTTATGAAACCAAGAGATGAGTTTTTGGTGAACTACAAGCTTCATGCGTGCCAACAGGGTGCAGGTGGTTGTTCAAACGACCGACCAACCAACTGACCGACTAACCAAGCAACCAACCAGTATTTGGCTACATTAACAGTCTCATCCCAATGATTCCATTCCAAAGGATTAGATCCCACCCAGGGATCGAAGTAGGTTATAAGAACCCCTGAACTAGCAAGCTTACTTTGGAAAAGGAGAGGGTTAACTACTTCAAAATATGTAAATGAATGTTGTGTGCAAGAGGCAAACGGACACAAGACTAAGTGCAGACTCAAGAGGAGTAAAATACCTGGTTTGAAATAAGAACTGTGTAACACATCAGATGACTAATAGGCCACTGCATGAAATTGTGTGCTCCCAGACCCTGGACACAGCCAAACAGACTGCTGAGGAGAAAGCGCTATGAAGGGTGGAAGGCTACCCTGGACAGTGGCTGCCGCGGGCTTCCAGCTGCTGTTCTTTGGAGAGGGGTGTGCATATAACCTGTACATGGGAAATGCATGAAACTCTGGCTAAGACGAACTTCCTTGCATAAGTGGAAATTTTTTTAGTTGGAAAAAAAACGGGTAGAGACTTTAAATAGTACTTCTTAAAAATAATTTTCCTTTATCAAAGAAGGTGAGAGAAGAGAGAATAACTTTAAGACCTCCCTTCGTTATTGCCTGCTGAGGGTATACCACAGGCTTAGTTCCCTGGCTTTTTACTCCCTGACCGTAAGGTCTTCAGGGCTCCTGGGCTCCTCTCAGTGGGCTTTCTTGGCCCCTGACACAGGTCTGCACACAAGGCATGTGCAGAGTCTGTGCCCCTTAACTTGAATGACACCTTCTATTTTCTTTCTTTTTTTTGAAGCAGGAGTTGGGAACATTTTTCTAACAAGTGGGGAGCCTCCTTTCTATCAAGGGCCAGTGACTCAGAGAAAAAGGACCAGAGAGGCTTTAAAAAAAAAAAAGAAAGAAAAACCAGCCAGTTTAGCTTTGGAGGGGTTTTTGGAGGGGCTAAGGCCTAGGATTATAAAAAGCTCAACCCAGGGGCGCCCGGGTGGCTCAGTCGGTTAAGTGTTTAGCTCAGGTCATGATCTCAGGGTCCTGGGATTGAGCCCACATGCGGCTTCCTGCTCCAGCTCCCTGCTCAGTGGGCAGCAGGGAGCCTGTTTCTCCCTCTCCCTCTGCCCTTCTCCCGCTCATGTGCGAGTGCTCTCTCTCTCTCAAATGGATAAATAAAATCTTAAAAAAGTTCAACCCAGCTACATTTTGAATTAGGAACTAGAAACACAGAATTTTATTATCAAGAATAAGAGGTTTAATATGCCTGCACAAAGATGTGCCGGCAAACGATCACACAGCATTACCCCGAACAGCTGAAAAGTAAAAACCACCCAAATGTCCAGCAACTGGTAAATGGATAAACAAAACGTGACATAATCCATACAATGGAATATTATTTGGCCACACAAAGAAATACTGATACCTGCTACAACATAGATTAACTTCAAAAACATGATGCTGACTGAAAGATGCCAACTGCAAAAGATTTCATTTATATGAAACATCCAGAAAAGGCAAATCTAGTGACAGAAAGTAGATTATTGGTTGCCAGGGGCTGGGAGTGGGAATGAACTTTTATTTTTTATTTTTATTTTTTTAAAAAAGATTTTATTTATTTGACAGAGAGAGACACAGTGAGAGAAGAACACAAGCAGGGGGAGTGGGAGAGGGAGAAGCAGGCTTCCCGCCGAGCAGGGAGCCCGATGCGGGGCTCGATCCCAGGACCCTGGGATCATGACCTGAGCCGAAGGCAGATGTTTAATGACCGAGCCACCCAGGTGCCCCAGGAATGAACTTTTAAAGGGCATGAGGATCACAGTGAGGTGACGGAAATGCTCTAAAACTGGATTATGGTTACGGTTACACAATTTGGTAAATTTACTAAAAAGCATTGAATTGTACACCTAAAATGGTGAATTTGATGGTATGTAAATTATACCTCCATAAAGTTGTTTTTTTAAAAAGAACATGTTTATTTAAATTTTTTGAAGTAATCTCTATGCCCAACAGGGGCTTGAAGTCATGACCT